AATTGAGAATTAGGCCAAAAAAATTTCAAACTTTCCCAAATTTGCCAAACAAATTACGAATTGTGGATCTTACCAAATAAACATTTAACTTTAGTTGACTTTTAAAAATAACTAGGTAAAAACCCGTGTGTACACACGGGCTTGTATACTTTATAAATTTATAATTTGTGTTGTATAATATGATAGATTTTTTATTTAAACTTTAGGAATATTTTACTTGTATGAAAAATATCTTAACAAATACAACCTAATTCGATATAGAAGCGGTCATTTGATAAAATGTATGAATTGATATATGTTAAAATTATTTGTTCGTATTTATTTTTATTATAATGTAAACACATTTTTAAATTTTCTGTAGTTTTTACTCTAAATTTCCAGTTAGTTTCGGTTGTAATCAACCACATATTAAAAACTAAAACTAAAATAATTAATATTTTATAGCTTAAATTATATGATCACTTAATTGAAAGTTTTATATTATGCACATAAAATTTAGATTATCAGCTTAAATTGCAGGAAACTTTCTGATTTTTTTTATATGTTAACAGTTAGCACACACAAAAAAAAACACTTACATCCATGCAAGCTACACATCGCCATATCACATTTAAAAAAGTACAAATACTTTTCTATAACTTCTAAAATTACGTAAAGATCTAGTCTTACCAGTCGTTCTTTCATAAACTTTGCACCCCAAGAATCGAGCGTAGAAAGAATTATTGCCTTATGGGAACTACATTCTATTTCTGTCTAAATATGAAATCGTTTAATAACACACTGCCTAAATTATGTTATAACAAAATACTTAGATAATGAATACAAAATGTGATCATATTGTGATCCTAACTCCTAAGTCTTGTCTCCCATGAGAGCGGCTGAACAACCTCCAATTAACACTCATGAGGAATAGAAGATGATAAAACAATTACAAATTATGCAGACTGGAAAATCATCCGATCATAACAAATTTATCGATCATTTATGGTCATCACAGTTTTAAAAATTACTCTTTTGATATTCTTTCCCGAGAAATTTTTTTGTCCCCTCACTCCTTCTAAATCCTTTTCTGCTTTCTCTATAACCTCCTCTTTGTTGTCATTATTACGTCTCCCCCATAACATTTGTAAGTTGTAACCCAAGCAATAAAAAAAGAATGAGGTTAAACCATACCATTAATTCATCATAATGGCAACAAACATGCATAGTGATATCAACATTCGCCTTTACCATTTTTTATATTTTCTCATTTTAGAGAGAACATAATTCGTTAAAATGTTTCAGGTTATTTAGATACGCAAACCCACTTTCTACCAATAATATCAAGCCATTTAATCCTTCATAAACTCCTAACTGAATTTTCGTGCGACATTCCTTCTCCAATATCTTTTTTTTCTCAAATCTTCTCCAATATCTGAAGATAGCAATCACCACCTCTTGAAATCATAGCCATGACCAGTTACTTCCTTCACTTACAAACTCGTATAATCCCAGTGAAATTTCAAAATTCGGTTTTAAGCTTTGCCATTAAAATCCGATTGAAATTCTGACTGATGAATCAAAGAGGAATTTGGCAATAGTAAAGACATGAAATGAGTTCCAAGACTCATAAATGTCATAGTTATTATTTAAAATTTAAAATATCAGATTTTTTTTTGTTAAAGCTGATGTGTCACATAAAGAAATGCTGATGTGTCAAGATTGTGAGACACTACTCAACTTTCTCATTTTTGAGAGAACACAATTCGTTAAAATGTTTCAGGTTATTTAGATACGCAAACCCACTTTCTACCAATAATATCAAGCCATTTAATCCTTCATAAACTCCTAACTGAATTTTCGTGCGACCTTCCTTCTCCAATATCTTTTTTTTTTCTCAAATCTTCTCCAATATCTGAAGATAGCAATCACCACCTCTTGAAATCATAGTCATGACCACAGTTACTTCCTTCACTTACAAACTCGTATAATCCCAGTGAAATTTCAAAATTCGGTTTTAAGCTTTGCCATTAAAATCCGATTGAAATTCTGACTGATGAATCAAAGAGGAATTTGGCGGTAGTAAAGACATGAAATGAGTTCCAAGACTCATAAATGTCTTAATTATTATTTAAAATTTAAAATATCAGATTTTTTTTTTGTTAAAGCTGATGTGTCACATAAAGAAATGCTGATGTGTCAAGATTGTGAGGCACTACCCAACTTTTATATAATAGATAATAAACTTACTTGCCAAATCAGCATGCTATTTATAGAATTTACATAAACTTTAAACGCCATTAACTCTACTATTATTATTGGAGTTAAATTGATACGACACCGTTTTAAGATTCTGTAGTTTAAAAATAATTTGTTTCTACTTAGATTCGAACTCGCAACCTAAAGGTGAATATGGGAGACTTTTGCCACTGCGCAAGTGACACTTTTAAACAAAAGGTAATACAATTGTTTTTATTACTCTCTAAATAGGAGAGTAACATAAAAACGAGTTTATATCTGAAACCCTAATTTTCCAGAGTCCTCAATTTTATTTCTCTCAACTAAGAATCGATGACCAACCAAATCTCACCTCCATTACTCCACCTAAATTTAGACATCAATTTTCAGTTGAGAAAAATCGAATTGGGGATTCTGGAAAATTAGGGATTCAGACATAAACTCGTTTTTATGTTACTCTATTATCTTTTTGTTTGAAAATGTCATTGGCTTAGTGATAAAAATATCCTTTATGCACTCATAGGTTGTGAGTTCGAATCTAGGTGAAGACAATTTTTTTAAAAATTACAGAATTTTAAAACGGCGTTGAGTTAATAGCGTTTAAAGTTTCTATTAATTTTATAAACGGCGTGCGGATTTAGCAAGTCAACAAAACATTTGTTATTATTTTTGAAAGTCAATAAAAGTTGAGTGTTTATTTGGTTAGACCCACAATCCGTGCTTTATTTTGGCAAATTCCAAAAAAATTCTCGAGAATTTTTTGTCTAAATTCCCATTTGTAATTTGCTAATTTATAAACTATCATCAAGGTCTATTAATAAAAAGAAAAGGTATCTATCAAAACACAAACGCATATTTGTACTATGTACGAGTATAAGAAACAACAGCGGACAAAAAACAGCTCCGTCTAAATATGCGAATGCATGAGCCATCAGTTAAATCCATTGACACGTATTAAAAAGCAGTGAATCGTAGATTTGACATTCTTAGATTTGATGTTATAGATTTATATATAAATTTACCAATTAATTTCATGAATTTCAAGTGAAACTTAACCGCTCTTTTAGTGGGATGTTGTTAGGTAACTGTTCTTTTATTGATCGTAACAAGATTTTAATCCGTGTGTTCGCACGGAAATTTTTTATTTTTTATTTTATTTTATTTCTAATATAAATTGTATTATAGATTTATATATAAATTTACCAATTAATTTCATGAATTTCGAGTGAAACTTAACCGCTCTTTTAGTGGGATGTTGTTAGGTAACTGTTCTTTTATTGATCGTAACAAGATTTTAATCCGTGTGTTCGCACGGAAATTTTTTATTTTTTATTTTATTTTATTTCTAATATAAATTGTATTTATTTTTTGTTAAATATAATTTGTTTTTGTTGTTTATTTTTTTAAATCAAAAAATTGTTATCATGTTTTAATTTTAAACAGTAAAATTTGTATATTAGTAGAATAAGAGTATGCGTTAATTAAGTATACATTGATCTAATGTTAATTATAAACTTTGTTATTATATGAATTTAGATTTACACGTAAATAATCTATATATTTATGAATTTGCTAACCCATCCGTTTATTGGCTTAAATTATTTTTAATATCTTACATGTTTTGACAAACTAACATGTGTATAATACTATAATTATAAATGTATAACCCTATAAATATTTACTAATATTGAATATTTGGACCAATTGATTATGAAAAAATATAATAAGATATTTATTTACTATTTATGCTATTAAAATATATATATATATATATATATACTGGCTAACCTGTTAGTTTAATTGTCTCAAATCATCTTAATATCTTACATGTTTTAATATATTAACTCATGGACTTTAAGTGTATATATATATATAATTCTCATCAACTCGATCATATTATTGTATAATATAAATATTTATTAGTCTAAAATATTTCATATTTTAACCCGATTAATTATGATAAAATACGATAAAATACGATAAAATATTTATTTACTATATATTTTTATGAAAATATTATTTAAATTTAAAATTTTAAATTAAAATCTAACCTGTATTTAAGAAATTCTAAAGTATTAAAATTATTATCTAAATTTTTGTAATAAAATTTAATTATAATTTTTTGAATTTTTTGAATTTAAATTAAATTGAATGCAGATTTTTGTAATTAAATTTAATTAAATTTCTAATAATTTGAAATTTAAATTAAAGATGATCTAGATTTTAGGGAATCTAAAAATATCTAAATTAATAACTAATTTACGGAAATTAAATATTAAAATAAAATAAATATCTTAAAAAAAATTTGGAAGTGTTTGGAAGCAAACACTCAAAGTGTTTTTGTTTTAATAGAATAGATGTTTTGTGTAGCTTGTGTTTAATATATCAATTAATTTTTTTTAATCATAAGAAATTTTTTGACAAATAAAAATAGAGAATATACGTGTAGATATTTCTCTTACGCGTATTAATTTCGTGTAGACTGTAGACTAGTGTAGTTAACAAAAATCACTCATTACTTTCTTGTCTTGTCTAATCTAGCAGCTGTGTAAATTAATTATTATATCACTATTTTTGATTTAAAAAAATAACCATAAAATCTAATGTAAATCACAGTAAAAAGTCAATAAAGGCACTTAGAGAAACTTAAACCGTTTCGTGGCCATTTTAACTTCTATTTATTTATCCTAAAACAAATTGTCAAAAGGTCTTGAAGTGGCAGAAGATCTCCACTTTATAGCCGGCGAGTGACAGGTGGTTCTCTCTTTCGTCTTCCTCTTTGTGTCTCTTGCTTCTCTGATAAAAAAGACCGAACTTTGAAGGTAACTCTCGTTTAAAAATTTCTCTTTTTTTTATCTTCAAGTAGAGCAAAAACTAGCGTTGATATCATTAGGCCTTTTACATGTTGACTGATTTTCTGGCTTTTTGGTAAATTTAGGGATTTAGACGGTTGAACTTTCTCTTGTTGTTTCACTCCGGTTTTGTTTTTATTCTCTCATTCTCTCTCTCTAATTTCTACTTTCTTGTTTGCAGGATTTAATACTGAGTCATGGTTAGAACCTCTCTAAATACCTCTTTAAGCAAGAGGAGGTTAAGGAAATCCAAAGGCCCAAGCGAAGATAGGCTAAGCGATTTACCGGACGAGTTGTTATGTCGAATCCTCTCTGAGTTATCAACGAAGGATTCAGTACGCACCAGCCTTTTGTCAAAAAGATGGAGAAATATCTGGTTAAGTGTTCCGGTTTTGGACTTGGATACCAGAACATTTCAAGATGATGATTACCTCTTTTTGGAATTCCTGGATAGTTTTTTGGAGTCAAACAAAGAGCAAGACATAAAGGAATTCAAGTTGATTTATGATGCTGGTGAGCATTGTGATTCTGATTTTGTGTGGCGGATTGATGATGTGGTTAAGCGTAGAGTTTGTCATCTAACTGTTCTGAATCGGATAAATGGTGATGATGCACTCGTTAGAATGCCTCTCTCCCTTTATTCATGTGAGACATTGAAGACTTTAACTCTCTATTGTGTTGTCTTGGATAATCCCAAATCAGAATTGGTATCTTTACCTTGTGTCAAGAGTATGCATCTAGAGGCAGTCAAGTTTGATGGAAAAAAGGTTCTAGGGACTCTCATATCAAGTTGTTCGGTTCTCGAAGAGTTAATCATAGTCACACATCCTGGTGATTATTTAGAAGAAGTATGTGTGCGCTCTCAATCACTAAAGAGCTTTGAATTAGAGTCCACACCTGGTGACGGATATGAAGAATATGAACGCCAACTTGATCCTGAAGTTGTAATTGATGCTCCGAGACTTGAGTATATGAGTATCAGTCGATACCTATCTACAAGCTTCAAAATAGACAGCATTGGCTCATATGCAAAAGTGAACATTGATGTTACCTTTGATGTGGACTATGGTGATCCAGAAAAGATAGCTATGATCTACAATTTTCTCATTGGGATTTCTCTTGTCCATGAAATGATCATCTCTGCTCAAACTCTCGAGGTACACATGATTAATTTGATTACATTAACCATGTACAATTTACTATATGACATTTGTTTTTCTTTCTTTCTCATTATAATAGGTGATCCATGTTCTCTCGAAGCTAGAACCGTTACCTCGGTTCCCTAACTTGTCTTGCTTGGATGCTTCGTTCATCAAATCTTTTTGGAAATTGTTGCCAACCTTTCTTGGTTGCTGCATGAATCTACAATCCTTCGTATTGGTATGTTTCACTTGATTATGCTTATGTTATCACATTGAGATTTGTGTTTTAAGAAAACATGTAAAGTTTCTTAATCAGGAATTTGACTCCCTTCCCGAGAGAGATGAGATGAAAGTTTCATATGTACCTGAATGTTTCTTATCATCTCTTGAGTATGTTAACCTCTTCACACCAACCACCGTCACAGAGCCGATGAATCTACCAATCTACTTTGTGAGAAACTGTGCAGTCTTGAAGGAGCTTGTGTTAAATGAGAGTTTCAGTAACATGATCAGAAAAATCAAAAGGATTCCAAGATTGTCTCAAAGGTGTGAAGTTCTCGTGGGAACACCAACTTACGAAGATGTCTCTCATAAACACGATTTATTATCAATTATGTATCCATAGTTAGCTAGTAATCATGTGTAGGGCGTTTTGGTTTTTGTTTTTGTGGATAAGAAATCTGAAGCCATATATGATCTTAAGTGTGAAGGCCATGATCTTTTGTGTAAGCCTATGAATATAGTGTCCTTGCTCAATACTCTTTCCTTATATGTTTGTCTATGATTAGGGCTTGACTTCATCAATATTTCTGATTGACTTAGTTATTCAGCGGAGAATATTTCTGATTGACTTAGTTATTCAGCGGAGTTATACTAACTGTCAACTTTTTCAGTTAACACTTTATTTGATTTCTTTATCGTCTTAGGTTGGTTAGAAATATGTCTGACTATTTTGGTCACTTATTATTAAATGGTAAGAAAGCAACAAGATCAAGACCAATGACTGAAGAATAACTATTTATGAAGGTCTTATTTATTTTGTACATTACCTGATCCGAAGCCTTAATGTAGCATTTTGCTCAGGCTTAGTTCTTGTTTGGTCTAGTTTTCTTTGCTTATTTAGATATGATTGTTAAGATCAATAACACGTAATTCCCAAAAATCAGCACTAGAAAGAGAAATTTCAAGTTTTGAGTATGGACTCAGAGTTGTAGAACATTTTAACTTGAAGGAGATTGTAACACATTAGTGAACTTAATCAACAACTAGTCAAAAGGATTTTGCTATTTATACATTAATTTTGTAATGGTCAATGGTAGAAATCGTGATTTGATCAGGAGGTTGAATTTACATGGACATCTCGAGATTTATCAAAAAACATTCTTAAGTTGATCATCAACTTTGGATTTAATTACACTACAGTTTATATGAGTGACGAAAACTCATTTTTATCATAATGAGGGGGACGAACCACCAAAACTATAAGCTTTCTTATAACTTTGATCTTGGTTGCTTCACAAATTAATGAAAATTCGTTGCTGTAAAAAAAAAGGAAAGAAGATTCTAATAGAAAATCTAAAACCAACATCTTGGATTTACATTCTATTTAAATTTGTGACTGCATAACATTTTAAATAGTTTCATAAGATTTTAGATCATAAATTCTAAAATGTAATGTGTTGCAATTAAATAATAATTTTTTTTTATATTCTTTTTTTCCCCGGAGCCGTCGACGTTAAGAGCGAAAGCTGATCAATCCCCGGTCGTGTGCTCCTCTCAAAAAGACATTAACGTCGCTTCTGTGCCTCGAATTCGAGTTTTCAAAGCTTCAGATTCTTCAAATCCTTGATTTCCACTCTTCCTCAAATGAGAAAAGCCCTAATTTTGATCATCTAAAATTCCCCCGATGGGTGCGAGCGAGTTTCGTTTCTTCCTCTCCTGCGATATCAATTCGCCCGTCACTTTTCGTATCGAGAAGCTTGATGGAATCCTCCCCGTCAAGAAATCCACTGATTCAGGTACTGAATCTTTATTACTGGTCGAAGTAATTTTGGAATTGAATCTGTTCTAATTTTTGGTTCGTGTTTCTGATCCTGTAATTCATGGGAACTGTTTATTCCTTGGTGTGTAGATTTTAAGAACTCATATCGGGAATTGCTTATTGTTGCTAGAGAGGCTCAAATTTTAGTGAAATGGGTTTAGTTGTTGAGATGTTGATCCTTCAATTTCTGACTATTTTTTTTTTTGGTTTGATTTATGTTTATGTAAGGAGTTATCTCCGTTGCAGAGGAGAAAATTCCAGAGCTTTACATTGAGTGTGCATTGTACATTGATGGAGCTCCTTTTGGCCTTCCCATGAGAACAAGGTTTCTTGTGTTTTCATATGCTGTGTTGTGATGTTGATGACCTTTGTAGACGAGTTTCATTGTTTCATATCTAGCTCTGTTCTTAATTCCAGATTGAACACTACAGGACCACCATTCTGCTGGAACGAACTCATCACTCTCAGTTCGAAATACCGGGACTTGACTGCCCACTCGCAACTTGCTATCACGGTAAACAAAACTCGCTGGGCTCGTTTCTTGTTTTTATGGTCCCTTCTCGGTTTCTTGCTCCTTTTTTTCTGCTTATTGAAGAGATTCTGCTAGTATCAGGTATGGGATGTTTCTTGTGGAAAAGCTGACGGACTGATTGGTGGGGCAACAATCCTTCTCTTTAACAGCAAGATGCAAATGAAATCAGGAAAGCAGAAGCTCAGGCTCTGGCAGGGGAAGGAAGCTGATGGTTCATTTCCTACCTCTACTCCTGGAAAGGTTTCTGATAATTCTCAATGTAGCTCGATATGTTTTCCTTTATGCCAACTTTCTTTTATATGGGGTTTTCTGTAATTTGTGGTACTTATAGGTTCCACGGCATGAGCGTGGGGAGCTAGAGCGATTGGAGAAGCTCATGAATAAGTTTGAGAGGGGGCAGATCCAAAGCATTGATTGGCTGGACCGACTTATGTTGAAATCCTTGGATACGATCAGGGAACAAGAAAGCTCCAAACATGGAAACTCGAATCTGTACTTGGTTATCGACTTCTGTAGTTTTGAACATCGAGTTGTATTTCAGGTACAATCTTCACTGCAGTTGGATACGTCTGTGACCATCTTACCTATTTGAATGTAAAAACGTATCCACGTGTGTCTTGCTATATCGAAATGATCAATGGGGTTTTGTCTATCTGCTTTTGGTTTCTAGGAGTCTGGAGCCAATTTGTTGATAACTTCCCCTATAGGTTCAACAAATGATTTTGTTACCGTCTGGGACACAGAGCTGGGAAAGTTTAATCCTTCAGAGCACAAGCAACTTAAGCTGGCAAGGAGCTTGGACCGTGGCATTATTGACAGGGATCTCAAACCAAGTTCTAACGAGCGGAAGTAAGTATGGAATTCTGTTTTTCTTTTGTTTCTCCTTTTGGTTGAATTGAAATTGTGTGGCACTCTTTAGTGAAACAGTCTGTCTTTTCTTGGTCATATTATTACGAAATATAGTCGCATATAATCTCACGAGTAGGTGATTTTTTCTTTTCTTTGCCTCTATTTTTCTTCTTTTAAAGGTCCATACACAGCGTTCTAAAATATCCGCCAACAAGGACTTTGAGTGGAGATGAAAGACAACTTCTTTGGAAATTTCGTTTCTCTCTCATGTCTGAAAAGAGAGCTCTAACAAAGTTTCTTCGCTGCGTGGAATGGAGTGATGTTCAGGTAAGCGTGCATCATTTGCCTGTAGATCTATTTATATGGTTCTTATTTTTTCATGTTGCATGATCTTCCTATGTTGGCAGGAAGCAAAGCAAGCTATTCAATTGATGTACAAATGGGAAACAATAGATGTATGTGATGCTTTGGAACTATTGTCTCCTCTATTTGAAAGTGAAGAGGTACTACAAGTGCCTAATTTACTTTTCTTTTGGTCTTTTGACCTTCTACTGGATCTGCTAGTCTGTCATCCTGGTATCTTTAAATATTTGCTAATTCCTCACCACACCTACTGACAGGTTCGAGCTTATGCTGTGAGTGTCCTTGAAAGAGCTGATGATGAAGAGCTCCAGTGTTACTTGCTTCAACTGGTTCAGGCTCTCCGTTTTGAGCGCTCTGATAGATCTCGGCTTTCTCAATTTCTTGTCCAAAGGGGTATGTTCTGAACTTCTACCCTTTATAACTGGTTTATATTTGTCCCATGAGTCATGCATTGACTGATTTCTGTCAATTTTTCTTTCAAACGTCTAGCATTACAGAATATTGAGTTGGCTAGTTTCCTTCGCTGGTATGTTGCTGTGGAACTTTTTGACAATGTCTATGGAAAGCGATTTTACAGCACATACGACTTACTCTTCGAGAGTATGAAACAGGTGTGGACCTAATGTCTATTTGCTCTCTTTTTCCTTGTCTTTTTCGATTTATGATGAGTTGAATATGTAGATCAATCTTTCTCCCGCCTCTGTTCTCTTTGTAATAGTCAGATTGCAAACCCGTTGAACTTGGGATAACAGTGCCAGGTTGTTCAGAATCTCTCTTTAAAAGCTAGTGTTTACCTTTTAGGGAGAGGAGTGGTGGTTTTCCCAAGAATGATAAGGAAACTTCTAAAACGACATATACAGGGTTGTACAGCTACTAAAATATCACCGTACATTGTAATTAGTGTCTTTGGGGCAATGAAATGAACTGTTTTATTCACCAAGTGAGTTCTGTTTGGCTGCTCTAGAATGATATTTGCTTTCATGTCAGCTGCCACCTGGTGCTAACGGAGAAGATGGAAACAAACTGTGGCAAAGTTTAGTGCGCCAAACAGAATTGACTGCTCAGTTATGTTCCATTACACGAGAAGTGAGAAATGTACGTGGGAACACACAGAAAAAAATTGAGAAGCTCAGGCAGCTATTAAATGGACTGCTTAGCGAACTCACCTACTTTGAAGAGGTACTTTCACTGGTAACAAATGCTTTTTATTGATCGAGTGGAAGTTTCTGCTGACCATTTCGTAATCTTTTTTGTATACGGTTTACTTTCAGCCTATTCGATCACCGCTTAACCCTAGTGTACTCATAAAGGGGATTGTGGCCGGAGAATCAACAATCTTCAAAAGTGCATTGTCTCCTCTGCGGCTAAGTTTCCGAACAGAAGACGAAGGAAGTTGCAAAGTTATCTTTAAGAAGGGAGATGATCTCCGGCAAGACCAACTGGTATATTTAGGCTTATTGCATTATATTGCCTTAGATCTTTTGTTCATGTTCTGATTATAATTTTTTTTAAAAAATTTCCTCTATAGGTTGTTCAAATGGTGTGGCTCATGGATAGACTGCTTAAGCTGGAAAATCTTGATCTGTGCCTAACGCCTTATAAGGTGTTAGCAACTGGACATGACGAAGGAATGTTGGAATTCATACCATCCCGTTCTTTGGCTCAGGTACAGTTTTAATGCCTAAACCCATTAATGCCCCCAGATCCTCTCCTTTTGAGAGTAAATAATCTCGTTACACTAAGATTTGCGCTTTTGCATGTTCAGATTCTCTCAGAGCACCGAAGCATCACAAGTTATCTGCAGAAGTTTCATCCTGATGAGCATGCGCCTTTCGGGATAACAGCCACATGTCTCGAGACATTTATCAAAAGCTGCGCTGGCTATTCTGTGATTACATATATACTTGGGATTGGAGACAGGTATGGCGCAAAAAATATTTACCTGAGGTTTTGTTCATGAAGTCTTACCAGTTTTCAATATGCCTTGAAAATCAAATTGTGATGGCCTGTTTTTGATATGTAGACACTTAGACAACCTCCTCCTTACAGAGGATGGCCGTCTTTTCCACGTTGATTTCGGGTTTATTCTCGGTAGAGATCCTAAACCGTTTCCTCCACCGATGAAACTCTGCAAAGAGATGGTGGAAGCCATGGGGGGAGCAGAAAGGTACCAGACTTGCTAAAAAAATTATATAACTTGATGGATCTTGGCTCGAGAGGTATAGTATCACCAGACTTGACATGTTTGGCTACACTGTATTATGTGTTGCAGCCAATATTACACAAGGTTCAAGTCCTACTGTTGTGAAGCTTACAATATTCTCCGGAAATCAAGCAACCTTATTCTGAATCTGTTCTATCTCATGGCGGGTTCCACTATTCCCGATATAGCTTCAGACCCGGAAAAGGGCATTCTCAAAGTAAGGTTCTTTTACTCTCACCTTAACCAGAATAATCTTGCTTGCTCCTTGTTATGTTCCTAAATGCTGGGTTTTTAATATACAGCTCCAAGAAAAGTTTAGGCTTGATATGGACGACGAAGCATGCATCCACTTCTTTCAAGATCTGATTAATGAAAGCGTAAGCGCTCTGTTCCCGCAAATGGTTGAAACCATACACAGATGGGCTCAGTACTGGCGTTGAACTACAACCACAGGGTTTAGCCAAAAAATGTAGATGTATTTACTTCCTCACGTTAATTGTTAGTGTGATTTATGTTCTTGGCTTTTGAATTATCTGCTAAAACAACTTGACATCTGTAAATAAGTCTCGTTAACCTTGAAACTAGAATACTAGAAAATGGATGACACATTAAAACGCTGCGTTTTATCTTCATTCCTTCGTTGTTGTGCTCTCCTTTCGATCGATAGAAAAGTAAAAAGCATAAAATACAGAGATCGGGTAATATTAAACGGTATGATACTACGCACTGGGGATGTATTTATACGGGAAAAAGATTGGAATCACATTTTCATTCAAGATTGAGGGACCCAAAAATGAGGGGAAAATGGATAAATAATTATATTCTTGGTTAAATTTTAAACAATACAATAATAAGAGGGGGTACTAGTGAAATATCACCTTTAGAGAATTTTCATGCCGTGGAGATTTCGTCTGATTTGATTTGATTTAAATACCCAGCGTTTTAGAGAATATACTCCAGAAATTAAGGGTTCGCCATTTTTCCTTAAGAGAGAGAAGAATAATGTTACAGTGTCCGACGCTGATGACCGAGTTTCCGTCGCCGACGAAAGCAATTCCGGCATCGTATTTGCTACCGTTACAGTGGCCCCAGCCGCATAACGAAGAGATTCTACTCGCCATGGAAGAAGCTGAGTTCGAAGAAAAGGTACATTCTCGTATTTCTTTAATGATAGCAATTTATCAGTTTTCGAGCGTCACTGAAGCATACCATGGAATTCGAGCTGATTTTTAGTGAGAATCCTGATTGATAACTTCTGGGCTTTGCAATCGAGGTCCTTTAAAGCCACGGCGGATTTAGATCGAATAGGTTTCGTTTCCTGTGGTTGATTGAGAGACTGTAAGTGGTTTCTACTTAATTTTATGGTAACCGGAGAAGAAATGATCAATCTTTGTCTTTGATTTCAAATTTAATGAACAAGGTTTTGTTGGTAACTAAATCGACTAGTCTTGAATTTGGCTTTAGGCAGATCAGTTTTCTCTTCTTCACATTGACTAGATGAATTATGGTTTCTGATTGTTTGTCAACCTTTCTTCTTTGGAACATACTCTTTTTGGTGCTATGTTTGAAGTATAAATTGGCAAGAAAGTTTGAATTTAGTGGATGCCAATGTTGAGTTGTGTGATTCTTGAGTAGTGGTGTTTTTAGTGTATACTCCATGGATATTGACTTGAGATCATTTGACTGGAAGTCTCATTGCTTTAAACTCGCAAAAATGTAAAGAAGACAAGAAGATTAGATAAGATATATGCCCTCAAGCATTATTTACTAGCGAATTAACTTCTGAAACCTTTTCATGTGAGGTTTTGGTGTTTCCTTTTAATTGGATGTACACATATTATATTGTCTAGTTATAGACGTGGAAGATATGAAAAGGGAGTGGGATCAAATTAGACTAATTGTCCATTTCAAAGTTGTTCTTCTTATTAATGCTAAGAGAAGTTTGAGCACATTGTTGTTGTCATGGTTTGGTGCAGTGCAACGAGATCAGAAAGATGAGTCCTAGCTTACCCGTAATTGGAAAACCAGTCGTTGACAACCATCAAGAAGAAGGCGATAATGATGCAGAGGATGATGATGCTGACAATGCAGAGGAATCCGATGGTGAAGAGTTCGAGCAAGAAACCGGGTAAAGAATCTCCACGACAAAAAAGTGAAATTTGCTTGATTTTGAGGATACGTATCTAAATCTTCTTGTGCCAAAACGACTATGATTTTGATTGACTATGTAAGCTACTATTATATACAAATGGGCCTGGGCTTTAGTTTCTAAATTAATAAGTAAAGCCCACGAAAGGAAAATATGCACTGATTTAATCATAAGAGTTCTAATTTCTGAATCTTCTCAGCTGAAGAACCCAAAATTCGCAGTGAAATGGAGAAACCGACGCAATCTCCTCCTCCAAATCATCAAATGGATGCAGATGACGAAGACGAGAATGTGAAGCGGCTCAAGGTTTAGGGCTGAATTGATCTGGCTGATTGATCAATTTTCTTATTGTTGATAATAATGGCAAATTTTATTTCCATCAGGATATATTCAGACAAAATGTTGATACCTTTTTTTTTGTTGGTTTGTGATTTGTTTCAAAGACGTTTAGACAACATTGCTAACGAAGTTTATTAATGTAGCGGTTTGTTTTACTTTAACTACTAGTAAACACTCAGCTCTAATTGTAAAATATAGCCAAAGTTTGCTTTCACATTGTGGTCATTTGATATTGTTCTACTATTACTATTACTTGTAAGCTTGAGATTGAGTGAGACGAAAGCTTCGGATTCCGAGAGAAGCATGTTCCTTGTTAAAACCTTCCTTTCTTTTCCTTTTGATTTTTGTTGATTATGGAGTCATATATGTTGCCAGTTTGAAGGATTTGTTTTGGGATTGTGATATTAAGACACTTGTTTTTATTTTCGTTTTTTTTACTACAGATATAGTAATATAGTAATACTTTTGTTTTCGAACTGTTCTCTCGGTTTCTCCTTTTTCTTGTTCCCTTGGCTCTTTCCGGATGAGCAAAACCCAGAGGTGGTCACATAAAATTAATGGTGTCGTAAATTATCTATCATAGGTCCAAAAAGTCGTTTTCTGACAAAAACAAAATAATAGCAGAATTTTTAATAAAATTCGTTGGGAATTGGTTAGAACCATTCTTCTAAATTATCTTTACCGGTGTACGTGTGAATTAACTAATCAGTGAAAGTTTTGGTTGGATTGCATGGCAGATTTTTTTTGTTTTCAATATATAGTAACTAGTAAGCGTAAGTCGCTTGTGCAAGTGCAACCAAATGTCATGTGACAAATTTGTTTAATTGATGAAGCAAGTAAGAAAGTTTGAAGAAGCAATAATCAATATTTTATCATCACATAACCTTCTCTTTAATCCATATCCACTACAATTCCCAAATGTTCGTTGGACAATAAACACTTTTGACTTAAACGTGTAAATAGTGTTGGAACTCAATATTAATAAGCATTTGGACTTGTAATATTGAGTTTGTGTGTGAATAAAAAATAAAGTTTAATAAGCAAATGAGTCTTATAAATTCATTTGAGATTTGGGTTTGAGCCTATGGAAATGAAATGTTCCTATTGGCTATAACTAAAAGTGGAAGTTTAGTGGAAGTGTATTTGTCCCACATTGCTCACCAAGGAGAAAAATTTCTTGTATATATATGGCCTTCTCACAATAAGGATCAACAGCATTGTGGAAGTAAAAGGGCTTTATGCAAAAACACCTACGCGCGCCGTCGCCGTCACCGGTGCCGGGCTCGTGTTCGTTGCTCGTTACTCGTTGTATTTTTTAGTTGACTCTTAGGGCTCTTGGGCTCTATATAGCTGGGTATGGGTCGTGGGCTTCTTAGTTCCTGCGAAATAATTTTTGCATATTGAAAGTAAATCTTAGGAAATAAAAGATTGCGTCCAGATAATAACGGAAGATTTTTGAATCCTTTTACTTGCGGAAAAAGGAGAATATCTCGTGAATATTCCTTTTTGCCAAAGCTTATTCCTTGCGGATCAAGCTGAATCTTCCAGTATAAATAGACACCCTCTTCTCTCATTCTAAATGATCGAATTTTCGAATACACTAAACACATAGCAAATAATTCTTTCCAGCAAATCTCTCTCGTCTTAACATCGTAAGTGTCTCGAGAGCTATAGCGTAGTATTATTTCAGTTCGCAGATTCTATTACGGGTGTTGCGTAATAGTCTCATCACGGTTGTATCCTGAGATTCAAAAATCGCACCATACGGTCATACATTACCGGCGATTTATTGAGTTAAGGAAAGAGATCATATCTCGACTCCGTGTTTTCGTCTGTTTTCAATCGGTTTTCTAAATCTCGTTTTAATCTTTTACCTTAACATATCGTTTTACCTTAACATATCGTTTATAATATTGTTATTTTCTATTCGTGATTTCAATCGGATTTTTGCGGACTAACAATTAGTTCATAAGGTTGGGTTATAAGGTTTCAGTATTTCACGTGTAATGTTAGAGCTAACCCGAAAAAAACATAAAAAAAAAAAAGTCTGTCGCCGTGGTTTAAAAAGGTTATGAGAAGATAATATGCTGATTAACTAAAAAGGAAAAGTCTAAGTAGTTAGTTAATAGAGTTGGATTGTTCATTTATGAGTTTATCTTAGGTATGCATGCATGCTCTCGATCTCGTTTCTATTAGTGAACACATATTTATCTTCTAGAAAATTAGGGTAGAAAACTTTGTGCATGATGCAACACGGTTAAAAACTGTTAACCATTAACCATAACTTCCTTCTTTTTTTTGTTGTTGTTAAAGGGCCTTCATGAAATAAATAGAGTTTACAGAGAAACAGACACGAACCATCAAACCATTAAAGAAAGAGAAGTAAAAACAGCCAGAATAAATGGGGGAGCCGGAGGGAAAACAAATGCCATAATTAGCCATAACTTCCTTCTATAATTTTGGTTTGGTTACGTCTGTTCCGTGAAAATAACTACCTCCATAACGTCCGACATATTTGAAGCGACGTATATATTTTTCAAACAAATAAAATAATATATAGATTTTTTTTGACATACTAATAAAATAATAAGTAGCTTACTAAATAGACCCAAAACGCGTGGAAGATGTGGTGCCGAGATGTAGGGTCTAATATTTTAAATTAAAGGATGTCGATTGGTAAAAACAAAGTTCCAATATTTCACCATATATATTAAATAATTTTTCCATTTAAAATCCCCGAACATATCAAGATCATCATGACCCAAATTAGGCACTAATTTTTAACGGATACGTGTGCTGATGTGGTCAGCATAGGAGCCTTCGAAGCTTTTTTTACGTAGGAAAACAAATTATATTTTTATCAATGTTTTTCGTGTTAAAAAAACAAAAAATAATGTTTTTCGTGTTGGAACTATGAAATATTTGGTGTTTTGTGTAAAGAGTTATTCTGAATACTCCATCCAGTTTAATAATTGATATTTATTAATGTTTTATCCTAAATTATATGAGTGACGTTTCAACTTTTGATTTAAAATTGATTAACTTTTTATTTTTCATTTATATTCTGCATAATATTTTATTAATTGAATTGTGGTTAGATAAACAATACTCCCTCAATTTCATTTTATAGGTTGTTCAGGATTTCAAATTAAGTGTTTTTATTTATTTTTAGTGTAATATTTAAGACAAAAATTCAGTTTGAACTTTATTTTTGTAATAATGTATTAATAAGAGAAACAAAATTATGTACTATATTAACATGGAGTATAATAAAAAATTAATTTGTTTTTATAATGTGTGAAATAATACTTATAATAATTTAAGAAAAACAAAAATAATAAAGCAACCAAAAACAAAATAAACGTAAAAGTTTGTTAAACATAGCATGGAAACAGGCTGATTGTGATGAAAGCATTTGTGTAAGTGTTGTGTCGACGGAATGTTGCTGTAATGTACTCTTGGTTACCTCTATATACAGTGTGTTAGGTGCGGGCAACTATGTCCTAACGCTTCGTGCTTTCTAGTTTTCCTCACTTTCGAACTTCGATAGAAATTATAACACTAGAAAAATATATTAGTGTTGCATGCACCAGTCTCGAACTCAAACGGTGAGTTACCAGCTGAATTTTTTTTGATAAACCCTATCGGCTGATCCGGTTGGCCCCGGTAGGAACGCACCAAAGTGATATAGTGTAGACTTCTTCCTGGTTTAACGGTTCAACGGACACCATGAGTTTCGAGCAAACTCAAAGTCAACGGGCCATGAAATCCATGAGATCCAAATGGGCCACCACACTACCTGTCCCGAGTTTGAAATGTCTTCCGACTAATGTCAGGGGGTAGCCAGATCGCCTGTTACTGGACTACCAGGCAAACTGCTTGGGCCTTTTGGTCCAAACCCAGACTTTCCACATATTTATGTTTTTGTTTCCAGGGAGGATGGAACCTGGGTGAAGTGGTGTAACACCCCACACAACCCTTCCCTACCACTGGACCACAACGATGCGGGCGTTACCAGCTGAATTAAGCATTGCTTCTCTTGTTTCATATGCAGAGCTAAGTAGTTTACGTACTAGCTCTTAGAATTGAATGCCTATGTTGCTACAGTTGTTTAAGCTTCTACTATCTCCATTGTTTTTGCATTAGATATGGCCATTGACATTTCCACCAATTCTTCTTAATACTGAGGTTGCTACTCCAACTATACAATCACTTATCTAGCTGTTCCAACAACCACATAATCCTGCAAGAAATCTACTACCGTTATAGAAAATACTCCTAATTATATTATAATACCACAAAAACCAGATCTATAAAGGATGTGTCTCTAATACAACACATTTCTTATAGATGAAGATTTTGCTAATATCCACTACAAGAAAAATTGTCATATTATTACAAAAATTTTGTCATAATAAAAATTATTTCATAACAAAATAAACATTGTGATATATTTGTGACAATTTGAGAATAATTACAATACAATCATCACAAATTTTTTGGTAACAAAAACATCACAATTGCAATGGATTTTATATAGTGATCACTCTGTCACAAGTAGTAACGATATACAAACGTAACAAACGGTTAGAATCACCAACTAAAGATAATGCAACAAAATCGTTGTATAATCAACTGTCATAAGGTCTTAATTCTGTCACTCATTACAAAAACAAGAAATCTTACATGTACCTTTAGACTTGGACTCTTCTTTGCTTTTATTAGATTAAAATTTGAATGAAGATATTACAGAAATGGCAGTGGAAATTCATGGTAATAACCAGTTTACATTATTAGAAACAATAGAGGTGCCTCTTGAAACAGAATTGTTGCAAGATGTGGAAAATGCATCTGCTCAGAGATTCCATGGAGTCAATTAAGCCAAATTAGAGATTTATGTATTATTGTTGATGATCGCGGAAATCATGGTGGTGGATACATCAACTAATGATTTCTAGTGGACTATTATTTGCTCTTCTCTTTCTCCATTTCGCTTGTGTTAATCTAGCTTAAGTGTATGTTTCTGTTAACTCACATTTTTTTCTTTAAAAATGTTATAACCTTGTTTCATTTTCTACCATTTAAATAAATTCTATATAAAATCTTCAACTTAATTTCAGTGATCTTTTTAAATCTTCAACTTTTCGTGTGTCCAAAAAAAAAACCTCAAATATTTTTTATATCAATTTAAAATCTTTAATTGTTATCCGTATAGTTAGTTTATATCATATACAAAACATCACTAAACAAAAATGAAAACGTCGTTCGAATCCCGTTAACAAACTAATTACAATAACTCGTCGTGGTTAAACAATAGTTAACATAAAATTCGATATAAACTAAATTCTGACAAAATTGAAGTAAAATTCTCAAATCAAATTGAAACAAAATCATCACACGGATAACAATTGAGGATTTAAAATAGATAAAAAAATATTTAAAATCTTTTTCTAAGCACATGAAAAATTGAAAATTTAAAAAGCTCATTAAAATTATGTTGAAGATTTTATATGGAATTTTCCCCACTCTTTAACTAGAATACCCCCACTACAACTTGGTTGTGTGATTTAACTCTTTAAGCCAAAGCATTTTGATTTAGAGTAGTATAATACCTTGTTGTCGGCTATATAAAAGTTAGAGTTTACTACTATATAAAAAGATCTGACTTCTTCTTTTAATATTTTCTCTTACCTTACCAGATCTAAAAGAGCTACGTGGCAGACGTCCATACGTTTACAGTTATAAAATTAAAATAGTAGAGCCAACCGACCCCAGGAAATAGTAGAGCTACCATTGGGAAAAAAGCATTTATGTAAATTGCATTATAATTGTGGAATTTTTGGCACATTGTTTTCATTTGTTAAATAAAAAGACAGAGACTCGTATGGATACCAACGCTTTTGTTTGTTTGTTTGTGAGTCTGTGACTTTTACTATATAATCTAGCCTCTATCTATTAATGGACTACGATATTTATGTTTACAAATTACTGTTACAGTGTTACATATGATCTCATAACAAATAATTTGATTTGATCAAATCAAACAAAATCAAATTATTCTATTACACAGTTTTACTTATAGAATCACATCATTTTATTTACTTTTATAATACATTAAATTCAACTATTTGAAATTTTTTGAGATCGTTTGTTTTGATATTTGTAGTCAGATGATTCATCTAGATGATTCATTTGGTTGATCCATCCAAATAATATTAGTTTATATTAATAAAATTCTATCATTCATTCAACTGATTCAATTAGCTGATCCATCTGAATGAATTTTTGTTTGTTAAATTTTTTTTTTTGATCATTTCAAATCTGATGCTGCCCAGAAAAAAAATCATTTCAATCTGAATTTACATAAATGCTTTTAATAAAAAATAACTAAAATACTCATGTTTTCATCCAATTATATTCTTAGTCTAATATTAACTATATTGATATTATTTATTAATATAAATAATATTTTACAACTACATAACTTTTAGATTATTATTTTTTAAACATTTATAATTTTCCTTTTTATGAAAATATTTTTTTTTGTTTATAAAAAATTTCATAATAATTAATTAAAAAATATAATTGATTTAGTGATTAGTTCATACCTAATAAGAACATTCAAAACAAATATTTTCTCACTGGTGAGGCAAACTACAATCTTTTCTTCTTGATTTATAATTTCATCGTACAGAATACAATATCAAATTGGAAAAAAAAATATCATATTATGTTTATAAAGGTATAAAACAAAGTTTTTTAGACCTGACAACAATCACAAGTTCTTAGACCAATGCAAAGCAAGCTCAGATACGTACCAATATCAGCTTGATGAAAAAATATTATTAGGATCCAATTTCAGGCAATCCTGAGTTCTCTTCGCCAACAAATGCAGAGTGTAAGTTCAAATCAAAGGAGGAAAAGCAAACTGATAACTCAAATGCGGATGAAAAGCACCAGAGAGTGTGATTGTGACACCAGAGACTGACTGAGTCGGCGGAGTGATAAAAAACACTCAAATTGCAGATGAAAAGATGGCGGAGTGATGAATGAGTTGGAGAAGAGAGGAGTCCCAAAAGAGAGAAAACGGAGAAGAGTTCTCGAAATAGATTTATATTTTTTATTGTAAATTTTTATTTCGTCAAAAGTATTTTAGTCATTATCAAGTTTCAACTGAAGCAGGTTCATTCAGCTGGTCCAATTCGGATCAACCAACTGATTTCAGGAATTTTGTCATAGCTTTAAATAATCTATTTGGTTGATTCATCCGAATGATCATGATTTTATACACTGAACAAACATCATTTGATTGCTTCATTTGGATGGATAATGAATAGACCCTAACTTGAAAAGATATTGTAGTTACCATATGCTATATTATTTATTTTTGCTTTTGTTTCTTTGCCTGCTAAAACTTTCTTGTTTTTCAATTTTTTTGTACATAATCAAAATTACCATTCAATTAAGTAATGGCACTACTCATATTTTCTTGTGCATCATATATTCTTAATAATAGTAGCTAAATACTTTTTTTTTTAAAGTGCAGAGTAGCAGTCACACTTATACTATAATTTGACTATCTTAAGAAAAAATAAGACGTCAAAATCCATTTGACGATACATATTATTGTCATATTTATATAAATTATATTTCAGCACAAAATCAATTGTGTAAAACCTATTTAAAAATCTGGTTGATCAAAAACAAGTTATATGAACATCATAAATCAAGTTATAACAGTTGAAGTGTGTCATGTTATTGATTTTTTTTTTAACAGATGTGTCATGTTATTGATTTATTAAAAAATCTAGTGTGTAGATTACTCAAATGTTATATTTATTTTCGAAGATTAATATGATAAAAACATGTATTATCTCAATTTTTTTTTAAAAAAATGTAGAGGTAATTAACAGTTTTAACGTTTAAAATATGGGAAAATTGCATTGAATAATTAAGAGAATAACCGGTTGACCAAAAAAAAAAAATTAAGAGAATAACCATATAAGAAAGATGGCTACTATATTTTCTGTATAATATACAATATATACAACAATACCCTTGAACATCTCCACTCGCAGGAATTGAAAGTATTTATTTGGAATCTGTAAGAGTAAATTATAAAAGTTGGATTTAACCCATCCACATAAATCAGTTATTAAGAAACAAGAAAAAAAAAAGAGAAAGAACATTTAAATCCGAGAATAACACTTTCTCGTTCAATTACTTTTCTAGAAAGAGAGCAAGTGACAGATTTTAAATTTAGAAGTGAGAAGATATCAAATTAATTGAAGAGCCGGTGAAGATTGAAGAGTGAAGTAAGAGTTCTATTTTAGGGTTTTTATTAAATATATTGACTAAATATGAATCGCTCGTATACATAGAAGTACTATATGTGAATCAGACATAGATCTGTCTGTGTTTTCTAGGTATACATAGATCTGTATGTGAATCGGTCTTTTATTGGTAGGATTTTCTATAGATTGACAATATGTGTATAGAACGTTTGTACATAGTTTGACTGTATATTGTTATTGTACATAGAAAGTTTATTTAATCTATGTATTTTTCTTGTTTTGTTACAGGGTGTTGTGATGACAGATTTAAGCTTGTCGGAAAGAATGTTCATGACGAGTTCTGAACCTATAGGTTGGAAAAGGATAAATGGATACTTCAATTACAGGTGTAGGTCCAGGAGTTCTACTGACTATCATGCCTCTATCGTGTCTCAACCTCCCATTTATGTTTGAACAATTCGATAAGCATATGATTCCTATAATTTTCCAATATATTCATATTTTCTTCCTTTATAACAGTTGCGTTCCTAATACTAATGAAACATCATTGCCAACATGGAATGAAAGTATGCAAACTTGTAACAATTGCCCATCTTCAAGCTTCAGCAAAGAACTACATAATTGAAACATGCAAACTGTTTACTCTCCTTCAATCATCACAGTAGAATAGTCGGTTTACAATTCTTTAAACTTTCTATTTTGTAATTTTTTAGTGGTTAATTTATTTGGACGCATGTAAAACTTTACACTCAACTTAAGTATTTATTTTAGTAACACTTATATAAATATAAATTATATTAGATAGACTATAGTTTATGACATATAGAATACTACAAATTATTCTATTAATTTTATATTAGTATATATAATATATGATAAAATAAACTTTAGACAAACTATTAACTATATTTCATGTCATATAAAATACTATAAATTATATTACTAATCTAATCATTCATTTTCGTCCACATAATAAATTGGAGGGAATTTAACTTTTCAAAACTTAAATAATATGTCAATGTTATGTTAGTGATTAGAGTGTTTCATGGTAGTAAGCAATGCATGCGGTTTCTCTCCAATTAACAACTTGCTATTCTTATCTAGAAGAGTATTTTCGTCCAAAAAACATAAACATTATTACTTACTTAAATATCTAATATCTATAGTTATTTTATTAAATTTTAATTATTCACTTAATTAACCCTAAAACATACTCTTATTGACCCCCAAATAAAAACAAATGGTACTCCCTATGACACACACATGCCCCTACCTTGGACTCTTTAACGACCTTCCACGAGGAATTCATGGTCTTCTTCCAACCTTATTATATTATTACCTCCCATTTGAATCTGCCTGTTCGTTAATTTTTTTTTTTTTGGATTTACAAAATTGATTGTCATAGTATTATTTTGATATTTAATTCAACTGCTTCGTATTAATTTAAAAATTTTCTTTTGAGTTTGTCCTAAACTATATTAACCTTTCATTTCCCTAGTTACATCACCACACTATAAACAAGTAATCCAAGAAAGGTTCATTTTCATATTTTATTTTATTTATTAATTTTCACGTCCACCAGCAAACAATATATATATTAGAAAAGGACCAAAAGGTTTATAAAAAGTAATTTCAGTCTCTGTAAAGAGGATTATTAAAATGCAATTCATATGTAGAAATTTTTTGAAGAAGAAGTAACTATTTCATCATTGATTTGTTCCGGATTTACCCTTCGTGCTACGCCTATTTAACCAGACGTTGTGGTAGCCTTATAGAAACTACTACTCACAAGCCAAAGACTAAGTAACTAAGTTCAAAGTTGGCATATCTTTTACAAACCAAGCTTCTGTTTTCTTTTACTTCTCAAACACTCACAAAAACTTTTCAAATCTCTCCAAAAACCCACCCCAATACTTTTTCTTCTCTCAAATGGCCCCAGAGATTTCCGTAAACCCGATCTATGTATCCGAGAAGGCGCATCAAGCACCTTCAAGGAGAGCCTATGTAACGTTTTTGGCAGGTAACGGAGACTACGTGAAGGGAGTGGTGGGACTAGCAAAGGGTTTGCGTAAGGTGAAAAGTGCTTACCCTCTTGTTGTTGCCATGTTACCTGATGTGCCTGAGGAACATAGAGACATCTTGAGGTCTCAAGGCTGTGTATTGCGCGAGATCGAGCCTGTTTATCCTCCAGACAACCAAGTTGAGTTCGCTATGGCTTATTACGTTCTCAACTACTCAAAGCTACGTATCTGGAACGTGAGTCTCTTAGATTCTTCACAAAGCTTAAGATATGTTATAGTTAATAAAAGCTCTTTGTGTTTTTTTTTTTCTTCTTACCTTTGAAAACTTCTTTGTAGTTTGAGGAGTACAGCAAGATGATATACCTGGATGCAGATATTCAAGTCTTTGAAAATATCGATAACCTTTTCGATATGCCTGATGGGTATTTTTATGCGGTGATGGATTGTTTCTGTGAGAAAACGTGGAGCCACTCGCCGCAGTATTCGATTGGGTATTGTCAACAGTGCCCAGAGAAAGTCACGTGGCCGGAAAATATGGAGTCTCCTCCTCCTCTGTATTTCAACGCCGGTATGTTTGTGTTCGAGCCAAGCCCTTTGACTTATGAGAGCCTACTTCAGACTCTGGAGATCACACCGCCTTCACCGTTTGCAGAACAAGTAAGTAACTTACAATAGTTCACAATACGTTATATCCGGTTTTACAGTTGCTCCAAATCAAAATCAAGAACTGGTTTTGATGGTGATTTGATCGGTATTTGCAACTTTGGCAGGATTTTCTCAATATGTTCTTTGAGAAAGTGTACAAACCGATCCCTCTGGTTAACAATCTGGTTTTGGCTATGCTTTGGCGTCACCCTGAGAACGTGGAGCTGGAGAGAGTCAAGGTTGTTCACTACTGTGCAGCTGTAAGTAGTTCTCTCTTTGCTTACAAACCCGAACCGGTTTAGCTTGGTTTTCTGAAATTTGATTCCTGTTTTTCTGTTGATAAGGGATCCAAGCCATGGAGGTACACAGGAGAAGAAGCTAACATGGACAGAGAAGACATCAAGATGTTAGTTGATAAATGGTGGGATGTATATAACGATGAATCCCTAGATTTCAAACCGAAAAGCCCTGAAGATGTGGAAGAAACCGTTACCAAATCGACCATCCTAGCTTCAGTACCTGAACCGGAATTCACCTACTTTCCTGCTCCTTCTGCTGCTTGAAAAGTCTAGTTGCACAAGACTTGGAGTGTTTCTATATCTATTTTCTTGTGATAATTATAGTTTGAAATAGCATAAACAGAAATAGAAACCTTGGTGAGTTGGAATCACAGCTCTTAGCTGCCCCTTTCTCGACCCGAGAGTTTTTCAATTAGTATATGATAAAGTGTGTAAGGTGTTAAAACTACTAAAGAAACGATGTATTTGTATTGCTATATTTATGTACGAACCACAACATATATCAATGTGAAAGCGTTACAGAAATATACTACTATTAATGGTCTATTGGTTAAGCCAAGCAAATCGTTTCACATCTAAAAAACAACAAATAGGTTTCACATATTGACTATCTAGTGTATCCGTTATCAGAAGCAAGATGTCTCATTCCAGGGAGGTAGAGAAATACTCACCGTCTATCTCCTCATCTTCAAAGTACGATGTCTTAGACTCGCCTTCGAAAAACAGAAAAGGAGCAGCTTCTTGGTCTTTCTGGGGTTTCCTCTCATTCATTCCTATAACAGTAACGATCTTTCTCTGGATATAGTCTTCAACAGCATCACGTTCAACTTCTTGAGGCTGAAAGCCAAGAACAGATAAGCAATCTCCTTGGAAGTCAATGTCAGTAGAAGAGAATATGAGGCCTGCTATTGATCTTGCAAGGTCAGGGACATAGCTGCAAATCTAAGAAGATAGCATCAATAATCTTGGTCAAAGAAACGCTCAATTTTTCCTTTTTAAGAGATTAAAATAAACAGAATAAAGTAAGATCGAATGAGAGACCACCTTACGAGCATGTGAGCTTAGAAGAAAACCTTCATGTTTAGCCTTCAAATCATCCAACGCATTTTTAATTCCCTTCTTTACAAGATTTATACCAAGCTGAGTCTTCTGTCTTGTTGGATATTGATTGTGATACCAATGGAGAGCGATTTGTATTTGAACATGTGAAGGGAAATTTTCCCATTCGAGAAACACATGTCCATCCTGATCATTCACACTTGCCAGGATCAAACCGTAACTTTTCCAGTCTATCTTTTTCAATGCAATCAAGGCAACTAGTGGAATAGGGGAAGGTGAGAAATTTTCAAAGTATAAAACCTGGGGAAAACCATCACTGCAGCAGATCAGCTAAATAGACCTTACATGTAATATGGGCTAATGAATCTAATTTGATAACTGACCAGACCTCTGTTTTTCCGTCACATGATCTGCTGCATTGGCGAGTTGTCTCTAATAAGTCACTTATTACAATCACCACTTCCATTTTCCCTCCAGTTCTCTTACGATTTTCTTCAGTGCATGCTGTTCCACTTCCAACTTTTAGATGCTCTCTGAAAGTGTTGAAAATATAACCAGATTTGTCAGACTTAACGTGGAATGAATGAACATACATTTCTTCCAGCAGTATAAGCAGGACTAATTTAAGTCGTAAGTGTTTTAGAAACAAGAGTGGTGTTACATATTATATACCTATCAGAGAAGCAGTGTTCACACATCATATCTAAACAGTTCTCATGCCTTAAAACATAGTCCTCAAGACCAGACTTCAACCGTTCAAGATTGGAGGCAGTGAAGCAAGAAGTTTTGTCAGAGTTCACTACAAATACGTATTGAGTTTGAGTAGCAGGAGAAGCCCCTTGGTTAACCATCAGATCCATTGTGACATTCTGGAAAGGAAGAAAAGAACCAGCTTTTTATTACCATATTTTGCGGGTTCTGTTACTAAATTATTTATAGAAAAATGTCAAATCACGAAGGGAGAAACTTCAGCTTACAGGTATCTGAAGAACAAGCATCTGCAAGATAACAGAGTAGAAATATCATTACTAAATAGCTTAAGCAATCATGAGAGAACTATATCTTGATAATACATAAAACTAACTACACTAAGGTGATAACGCCAGGAAACCGAAAGTTCAATTAAGAAAATATATCATAGATCATCCAGATTCAAATCTGGAAAGGCTCAGGATCGATATATTTAACCACTAAGCGAACTTCGGTATATCATAACTCAGAGTCATTTCTTGACCTAATTAAAGAAGTAAGTTAACTACTGGGCAGCTAAAGAGCGACCTTCAAGGCTTCAAACTTTAACTGAGTTTATCATCCTAACCTGACCAACTGCCATTGGGATTCAGAACCATTCTTCCCACCTTAAAGATGGGATCTGTCTTCTTCTACTCTTTGTTCTACAACAAGTTGCTAGCAGTGTTTTTGTAATATTGTGTCTATGGTCACATTATCGCATATTCAGAACACTAACTACCAATAAGCCTACTTTTGACTCAGTTGAATATAAATAATTAAGAGAGAAACCAAGGATGAGGAAAAGAAGGAAATACCTTTTGAAAGAAGCCAATTATCGGTGCCATGAGCACGTCCGTACTTCCAAAAACACTCAGGGATACTTCCGTCCCACTGAAAACAACATAAACAACATATATAAACAAGTCAAGGCAGTCACAGTGGCTTAAGATTCATTTAAAAAGGATATATATTGAGGGATTTGCACACCTAAACTTTGCACCATTCTTAGCTTGAGAAGGTTGTCTTTTCAGTCTTTTGTTTGAAATATTCTCGTCAAGATTTACATGGAAATAGTATACCTCATCCTCAGTAATGCCTGCAACTCCGTCAGCACAGTGGAGGAGAGAATAAGATAAGAACGATAATAACAAGTTCCACAATGGTCCTTTAGGTGACTCAAAATTTCACTATCACTTCATCGATTCAAACTAAGAGAACTTAATCTCATATTTAAACACATAACAATCAATCATACAAACCCAGAAAGGGAAAATCAAGAGATGTTTCTCCACTAAACATGAGTCAAATCCAGGAGAATGCATCTGAAACTGAAATCGAGCTTTTCGAATCATAGCAAAAACGTATCATTCAGAGAGACGAAACTTACAAGTCGTCTTGACGGAGAGTAACCCATCTGCATCACATTACCCCAAATTCAGATTCAGAATCGCTTTTGATAGAGAGAAGAGGGAAATGAAAAAATTCAGCTCGAACTTCTCTAATCGTATACCCCAAATCTTGGCTCCACTGAATTCTCTGGGGCACCTGAGATCCTGAAATTCCTCCAAATTGCATCCAATACCCGTATCCGCAACTGTACGCAGAGATACGAGACCAAATTAGCGATGACAGATTCAATTTCCGTCGAGAGCTAAACAGAATCGGAACAAAAAATTTAGAGCAAATAGAGTGATATTACTCAAAATAGACGTAATCGGAGGATTCCTGTCTGTAGATTGGTCAAGAAGAATAGATAATCTACAGAGATCTTCTGATAAACGGCATCTTTGAAAAGCTGAGGAGCTCAACTACAGAAATTCGAAATCCCAGAACAGAAAAAATTTCAGGGGAAAAAACGCCTAATCGAAATCGATGAGAACGGAGAAAGATCGATCAGGCAAATGTGCAGAAAGTGGTGAAGATGATCGGTGACTTACTTGTAGAAGAAGCTTGAGAACCGAAGCTGTGATCTCCATGGCAGATCCTTGGCTCCCGAAAGTGTCCCGCATACTCCAAAATTTGAAAATTAAAAACCGAACCTCAATTAGCGACCAATTTTGTGGTTTTCCAAATGTAATATAGTCCTAAAAAATATGATAAAAATGACCGTTATTGGAACTCCTGACTTATGTTTTTAAAGATCAATCAACGTAAAAAAATATAAGAGCCTATAATTAAGAGTAATAAAATTATATTCGAAGTAACCTTTCCTAGAATTATTTGGCAAAGTTACTTTCCCAGATATTGTAATTGCCAAAGTGTCCAAATTTCAAAAGAAGCGTTCAATAATTTTTTTTATATGAACAAATGAACTAATATGCATTTTATTTTCTAAAAAAAATACAAAAAATCAATGTATTCAATTTGATGATTCGAAATAAGTAATTAAGTTTTATTTGAATATAATTTTGTATAGTACTATGTATATATGATAGTTTTTCTTCTTAACTAATCAAATCCAAACTTTGAGTATGATCTCCATAACTAATTTAGACTCAAATTGTGGCCTATATTGCTATATTGAGTATCTAATTCCATAAAACCGATTTAGTTCCACTCGATTTTTTCTTATAACAAAACTATATAGAAATCTTGTGAGAAAACATGTGAAAGACATTTAATTCCTCTAAAATACCCTCTATTGAAAAACTGTATCTTGACAATAATAAACATGTATTGAATTAATTAACCTAATCAAAACACTTAACTTGGTGTTTCTTTTAATTCAGTTTCGTTATCCACATATTCAATTATGATTCACAAATGTTAGCAATAGAATTATAATGAAAAATTGTCTTTTTATCGTTCATGACAGTTGTTTGAACGTATTATCCATATATATATTTGTTCAAATGAGTTTTTATAATTGTGTTTAAGTACGTGTAAGCAAGGCTATCATGTAATCAAACTTTTATATATTAATACATATATATGTGCAGATCTAGTTCATACATATTATATGGTTTATATGTTAGATCAGGGTGGTTGTCACTACTGGCTGATTGATATGATAGAGTCCGTTCATGATTAAAAAACGAGCAACAAAAATACTTATTTCATTACTTTTTGATAGAGAAATTCTAGGTATTTATTCAAAAAAAAAGGAGAAATTATAGGGTATGCAAAACGTTTTAGCAAAATCTAGTTCGATATTGGACACACAAACTTCAACTTTAATTTTTTTTTCAGAAGTATATTATGTATTTGGTGAGAAATATCTTTCAAAAATAAGTGATGTGGGGTATGAATACATATATGAGATGGGAGAATTCTATGTCACGACTGTATGATACCAATACAGGCGGATCTAGAATTTGGCCTCAAATTTGGTCTAACATTGTAAGATAATTGCAAGGTAGCTGTCTATACAAGCCGATGATGACTATTTTTATACGTCTTTGAATGAATAGCTGATAAAAAAATTTTTACTCGCAATCCGGTATTTTAAGTTGATAACATAGGTTTTTTGATATTCCAAATAATAAGCTTTTCATATCAAATATGCTGAATATATACATTATATACTATTCAAAAAATGATACATGTTAGACCATCTCATTCGGGGAGATATAGAGGGGTTGTTATGATTTTTAGCTAATAAAAAAAAACTTTGAAAAGCTTACAACCCGTGTGCTAAAATTATTTATATAACAACCTCTTAACAGAGAGTATATAACAACATGTCCTATTTTCATTAGCTCTGTATTTTAATGATTTTGGGCTGAAAATCGGGAAAGACCCGTTAGAGAAAAAAGCCCAGCTGTTTGGTGAGAAAATTTTAACATTTTAATCACTTCTAAAGAGTATGAGGGATGGACTAATAAAAATAGAAGGATTTTTAATTTTTTGAAGATGTCAAATTTAATATTAAACAATGTTTAACAACCTGTTGTAAGTATGAGGGATGGAGATGCTCTTATATGATAATTATAAACATGAGTTTGGGTCGTCCTGATCTATGATTACGATGTATGAAGATGGGTTACTGAAGTAAATTTAAGCTTAGTTCTTTTACTTAGTGATACTTTTATGTAAAAATATAAATTTATCTCTAAAATTTGAAACACTAAAAAAATCATAGAACTAAGCACAAATTTACTTCGGTAGCCCATCTTCATACATCAAAATCATGGATCAGGTAGATCCAGCTCATGTTTATAATTATCAAATGACGTGTATCATTTTTTGAATAGTGGTCGGGGTCGGGGGTCGATATAATCTTTTAATTTAATATAATCTTATATAATCTTCCCCATCCATGGGTTGACAGAGGGTGTGGGAACGATAGGGGTCGGGGCGTTACAACAATTAGAAAAAAAACTCCTTTAAATTAAATTTAATCTTATAGATTTCTATTTTTCTCATATGATCTTTTTTCTTAGTTTTTATTTCAGTTATCTATTATAAGTTATGAAAACAACTAAATAGAACCGATAATTCTATCTCATACAAAGATTTAAAACATATGGTTCTGCTTGCACTATGTTCATACCAGCAGTTTTACGTTTGACACGTTGAACCACAACGAACGAACGGTTCTGCTTTCACCATATTATAAATCTATATAATTTTACTTCCATTAATCTGCAATAAGTCACATTTTCTATAACTCCGAATCTCCGAGTGTAAACCATTAGTGAACCGTGACCAACAGGTTAAGGAGGTTTTCACGTGAATTTATATAGTTATAAAAAATTGGTGTTATTGAATATATGGTAAACGTTCGATGACATCAACAGATTTAAAAATGATGTGAATATATATATATATATATATATATATATATTTTATATAGATATAGATCAAATTTCTTGATAGTTTACCTTATGACCTCTCTTTAATCAGATTGAAATTTTTTTTATCGTATTTCAGAGTTATATATAATTAAATACATCCATGTCAAACATTTTTAGTGTATACAAAGATAAAGATTAATCCTATAAAAATGATATCAGACATTTTAAATTGATATAATAATTAATGTAAAATCTAAATACATGTTCACAATTGGATAAAGATACAGAGCTTTGTGATAATTAACATCATAAGATATGGTATTTTGACATCTGGGGGATATGGGTTAAAACTCGTATCTCAAACTTTTTAGGAACAATCTAAATTTATCATTTCATAATTATTAGTTTTACTTCTTATATATACTGTAACTTCTTGTTTTGATTGGACTTGTGTAAAAACGTTTCGTAAAATATAAAGAGGTCTACTTCGGACATTTTCAAAACCAAATCTAAATTTAACACATACATATCAAACACTCAAAGTCCATTTAACAGTAAGGATGGAAAATGAGATGGAAGAGAAGTTTGAAGATTGGAGAGGAAAAGAGACAATTCCTGGCAAACATGGTGGGATTAGACCTGCCTCGATTGCTTGTGGTAAATCTTTTCCTTTTGCTCGTCGTGAATTTTCTTAAAACTTAGAAAATTTACTTTTTTGAATAATTATGATTTTAAACCGTCATGATATTTATAACTTTGGTGTAAATTTAGTTGTGGAGATGCTACATATGATGGTGTCCATAACTATTGGAAACAACATGGTCTTATATTTCATGAAAGCAATGCATTACTCATCAGCCGAAGCAGCAAATATGGTGACAAATTTCATTGGAACGTCGTATATACTCACCCTCTTCGGTGGTTTCGTGGCGGACTCTTTCCTCACTCGCTCCACTACTTTCATAATATTCTGTTTCATTGAAATCATGGTAATTAAAAAACTCCATCAAAACTTGTATATGAAAGTGAAACAATCCTCCAATTAACCAAAGTTGATCATTTTATAGGGTTTGTTTGTGTTGACATTTCAAGCTCATAACCCTAGTCTACAACCCGATGGAAATAAATCGCCTTCGACTCTTCAATCAACAGTTCTTTACACGGGAGTTTATGCGATCGCTATTGGTTCGGGGGGTACTAGGCCCTCTTTGCTTGCCCATGGAGGCGATCAGTTTGATAGTAGACACCAGAGTCTCATCTCAAAGTTCTTCAATTGGTACTACTTTTCTATATGCTTTGGATGGCTCATGGCCGTAACCATTATGGCATGGATCAAAGATATTTTCAATATTTCAATCTTGCTTCTAGCAATTGCACTATGTATTTTCGCAGCAGGATTACAATTGTATCGACTAAAACTTCCTAGTGGGAGTCCCTTGACAAGGATTGCAAACGTGTTTATCTCTGCTGCAAGAAACCTAAATGGGTCTATTTTGGATGTTGAGATGATGCAAAGTCTTACATCTACTGACAACAACAACAACAACATTCATCACAACAAGTTAAAGTAAGTCTCCTAAGTTTTTTTCTGTCTCTTATTTTTGTTATTCAATCTTCTTTGTGCCTCAAACACTATTCAAGGAACCCTACAAAGTTAGCGCATTTTGCAAAGGTTTGGCCTTAAATTTGTCTTCTAGTGTTAAGTAATGTGGTGCTAAATAAAATATAAGAGTACTAATTAATCAAGGTTGGAATTGATTTTGAATATTTGATTTTTATATGTGAACCTATTTTTTTCAGGTTTTTAGATAAAGCATTGTTGAACAAAAACATTTCTGCAACACAGGTTGAAGAAACAAGAACATTTCTCGGTCTCCTACCAATCTTTGGAAGCACGATAGCCATGAACTGTTGCGTGGCGCAACTATTGACATTCACCGTGCAACAAGGCATGACCATGGATAGAAAAATCTCTCCTTCATTTGAGATCCCCGTATCTTCCCTCAGTGTCATCTCTATCATCTTCATTCTCACTCTCATACCCTTATACGAACTCTTCAGCCAAAGGATCAACAAAACATCAAGCTTCGCTTTGAAACGCATTGGACTAGGTCTGGCTCTATCTTCTGTTTCAATGGCGGTCGCAGCCATTGTGGAAGCCAAAAGAAAATACCAGGCGGTTCACAACGACTTCAAGATATCGGTTTTCTGGCTACTGTTTCAGTATCTCATGCTAAATGTTTCGGATATAGTGACATTGGGAGGGATGCAAGAGTTTTTCTATAGAGAAGCTCCAGCGAGCATGAGGAGCATAAGCATAGCTTTGGGGTGGTGCTCCACTGGAATGGGTTTCTTCCTTAGCTCACTTCTTGTGGAGGTCACCAATGCCATCACAGGAAGGCTTGCCCATCAATGGTTGGGTGGGGAAGATCTCAACAAGTCCAGACTTGAACTGTTTTATGTGCTTTTGTGTGTTGTAAATACTCTAAATATTCTCAACTATGTTTTTTGGGCAAAAAAATATTGAGCAAGTGAATAAAGTATGTATTATTGATCTGAGGTTGCTTTCGTTGGTTGGATGGTAATCAATTATTGGAGATGCTTTTTAGGTTTATAGATGTGTTGTGATTAACTGATTATGTATCAAACCAAGAATAAACAAATATGCGTACATAACTTGACTTGAGGAATCACTCTTAAGCTCCAGCACTCTTCAAACAAAAATCCACAGTAAAGTTTTTAAAGGTTAATAGGAAGCATATATCGAGAAAATTTTATGTAGCAAAATATTTGGACCATTTTCATATACTTTTTTTTACTATTAATTTATCTCATATTTATTAACTAAGATAATTAATAAAATTTGTTAATTTTAGAGGTTTGAGCTTTGATTAATATAGCTGTCAAATTCTTCTTCTGTTATTTCGAAGAAGACATTCGATAAAATTGAAACGATTCAGAAAAAAATTAAAATACATATGTATCTACGTATTAACATATAGAAACGAGGTTGTGGTAATAAGTGCTTATGAAAAGCGTTTAATCCCGTTGCACATGGTTTAGACTAAGATCCTGTTCGTTTTTGCATCCAAACACTGCATTTAGATGCAAATGTTCAAATATTATTTATTTGGATACTTTAAAACTAACATTTAAATATTGAATTTGGATGCAAATGCTCAAATATAAATATTTGAGATGCTAAAAAATATAGAATCTGAATGCGAATCTAGTATCTCAAAAACTAAAAGACTAAAGTATTCCTCACAATAACATATTCATAAGCATCATTAATAAATCTTTCTGACCAAAACTAAAAATTATGCTAAAACCGTAAAATCTCATTTTTCCAAAATTTCGATTTTCCTCAAAAATCACAAAATTTCGTTTTCCCGCCACAAACGCAAAATCTCGATCTTTTGCCAAAAAACTCAAAATTTCGATTTCTCATCAAAAAAATGTCTTATCAAAAACGCAAAATCTTGATTTTCCACAAACATCAAAAAATCTTGACTTCCCGCTAAAACAAAAAATCTCAATTTTCCACAAAAAAAACAAAAAAAAATCTTAATTTTCTGCTAAAACGCAAAATCTTGATTTTCTGCCAAAAACACAAAATTTTAGTTTCCCGCCAAAACGCAAATTCTCGGTTTCTCGCCAGTAATATAAAATCTCGGTATCCCGCCAAAAATGGAAAATCTCGGTTTTTCGCCGAAAACGCAAAATCTCGATTTTCCGCCAAAAACACAAAATCTCAATTTCCCACCAATAACAAAAATCTCAGTTTCCCGAAAAAATGCAAAATTTCATTTTCTACCAAAAATCGTAAAAACACGAATTTCCACCAAAAATAAAAATTTTGGTTTCCTGCCAAAAATAAAAAATCTCGACTTTCTACCAAAAATGCAAAATTTCGATTTCCCACCAAAAACGCAAAATCACAATTTTCCATCAAAAACTCAAAATTCTAGTAAAAACAATTTTCCCATCAAATATGCAAAATCATGTTTTCCGTAAAAAAATGTAAAAAACAAATTTTCATGTTTTTTTAAAACTTTATTTGATACAAAAAAATATCACTTAGAAATAATTTTAAATTATTCTAATATAAAACTAATTTGATTATAAATAAAAAATAATAATTTAAAAGTATGTCATTTTTAGTCACTTGGTATATTTTGTATCCAACTATTTTTCTAAACTCATAAACGAACAATTTTGTATCTAGATATAGCATTTTAATACAAAAGCTAATTTCAAAAACACATAGTATCTAGATGTTGTATATAGATGCTGATCTAAATGCTAAATCTAGATGCATCTAGATAAAAAAAAAATGAACAGGGCCTAAGTCTTCATGACTTTTCCTATGTTTAAGGCTTAAAATTTTTTTTTTTCTTCCAAATCTAGATTACTTTTTGTCCACTCTTATTGAATTGTTGTCGTTTTTATTGGAACATAGACCTTTCGTAACAATTGTTCTACTTGACCAAGCCTTTTTTTAGCCTTTAACCAATAACAAAGACCTTTTCATCTAGTGAAAATTACTAACGGACACGAACTCGAACGAAAGTATGGACTTGTAAATCTAAGAATAAAAAATGGACTAAATTATATGAATTAAACATTTAGTTATAAATATGGTTTAAATACATGAGCTACCTAGTATCTAGTCGCTAGAAAACGGCATTTTATATGGCCAATTCGCAATGACTGGTTGGTTGAATAATTAAATTGTGGAATTGTCTACACATCTTTATCATATGTTTCTATTTTTATTATCTACTCCACACTATGTCACTATCCCAAACCAATAGATATGTGTCTTGGTCGTTTTATTTTTAACATTGAAAAATCGTTTTAATGATTCTAATTATTGATTTAAAAAGGTCCTAAAACCATTTGATCATTAGGTTATGAACATTTCTTACCATATTACTATATTACGATTTTGCATTATGTTCTAAATATTTAATCCCACCTTCATGGAACGCATGTATGGCTTTATAGTATAATCGAAAGACCATTTCACAGTGATAGCAATGATTTACACTTCCACGCCTATTTTTAATGAAATTTTTGTGATAGCTTCCAAATATACTACTCAGAGGCCAAAGACCAAAGTAACCACGTTGGCACACAATCTTCATCTGAAACAGTTTGGTATAGAGAATCAGTCAGTACAAAGGTGAAAAATTTGAGAATTGGTAAAGATTTTAGTTTCATAATATCACATTCAAACATACAAATACGCTTCACAACGAATGGAGTTATCATAACGAATCCTTAAAATAAAACAATTATGGAAAAAGTGAGAAGTATGTTGTCTAAACCAGTTCACCAAATACCAAGCCAGTTCTAGGCTGATGTGACGGCAAAAAGACACTTGATTATAATCACTTGATGTGGTTCGGCTGTGTATCTTTCGTCCATCCGTATCAAGGAAAGCTCAATCCAATAACTATGAACAAAATTTCTATTTTATTTTTAATATTTAATTTCACAGTTATGGAACGCTTCTATCACTTAGTATGCTCGGAAGCTAGACCAATCGAATTAATTGGATCTACAGTTTCTTAATCCATTTGATCATTGACTAGGTTATAAACATCTCTCACCATATGACTTTACCATTTCTTACCAACCACTTGATGATGATGTCTTTTTCGTTTAAATGTTCTTTTTTATATATAAACTTTGTATTACCAATTCCATTATGTTTTTAATATTTAATTCCCACACTCATGGAACGCCTATTATATCTCCTTAGTGTAATCGAAAGACTATTTTACCGAGAGTCCGAGATCCCAGTAAACTAGACCTTTTTTAATAACCAATGGATTTTACACGAGATTAATCATTTCAAGATAAGTGTAGCCATGAGTACTTCACTCACAAGAATTTTAATGGATTTAAAACATAACATTATTTTGACTGGCTAAATAAGAGTGGTTATATAAAAATTCCACGCTTGCGGGCTGATGAATCGATCTCTAGCCTACATTAACATAACAATTCTTCAACAAGTGGGAACCACTAACTCATTATCACTTGGTTGATATAATATACTACCCATTCATGCCTATTTAATCAAATTCTTGTGGTAGTTTTCATAGGAATACTCAGAAACCAAAGCCCAAAGTAACCAAGTTGGCAACACAATCTTCATCAGAAATAGCCTCACATTTTAAATTATCAGATCCAACCCACCCTTTTTTTTTTCTTTGATCAAAATGACCCTTGAAATTCCCATGGTCTCTATCTATGCATAAGAGAAGGCGCATACGGAAAGAGCCTGTTGTGAATTTGTGTAACATTCCAAATTAAACCTGCTAACTACAAAACTGTGGCCATCTAAAAAACTGAAGGATTTAGACAACTTAGGGCTAATTGTAGTATGTAGCTTTTTCATATTTTATGTTTTAAACACGTACTTACACTAAGTACATATGCACTATTTACAATATTAAGCTAGAATAATAACAATTAAAAATTAAAAAGCTATTTCCAATCCATTCTGCACGTTTGCAATTTATAATAACTAGTTTATACAAAAACGTTTCGAAATTCAACGTCTCACTACATTCTTATATAATGAACATACGTAACTTCATACGTTTTGATCTAATGAGCTAAGCACAATCTCTTCCAATAAGGGATAAGAACTTTGCTTGCGCTTCACGTGTATTTAAAATTTTAGTTTATACTTTACATGTATAAAAATTCTATGTTATATATATTGTGTTGTTTGAAAAAACCCAAACATATTATCGATAATCGATCAAGTGTGATCTGTAGGGATGTTTGTTTTGAAAATATGACAATTTACAGCTACATTCTAGAAACTAAAACCCTTTACAAATTATGAATTGACTAATAAATTGTTGGATATATAATTCGATATAATTCAGACACAGAAAAATACACGTATTGGAAGAGATACAGATGGAGCTTTGCCTTTGCCTTTGAGCTCTTAGTATATATAAAATACGAAATCAGAGAAAGAAGACCCATATGGAGTACACCCACATAAGTTAAAGACCAAGAATGTGTATTTAGGAATTACATGCTCGCTTACGATATAACAAGCAGAATTATCAAGCCTCCAACAAGAAGTTGACATTGTAGAATCTTTAAGAGCTCGATCCAAAAGAACCACATCATGAAATCATGTACTACATAATTGCATGTCATAAGTAGCTGAGCATATAGTTTGATGCCATAAAATATACTTTGGCGAAGAGGTCATTTGAGAATGGTATTTTGATAAGAGACAGCTGGTTTTGTTATTTAATAATGTAAAATTAATTATATCGGCACATTTTGTATCATGCGTTAATAACTTAATACAGTACCTACCCAAAAAGGAATATTGATTTGTTTTGATATATAATGGCTTAAAAAGGTAATTTGAGGAAATTTTCAAAAAACAGAAAGGTCTAGCCACTGACATTTGATGTAACCATGTATGGCTTTTATTTTTTTTTAAAAAGGTTTTCACAATTTGCGTATACCAGTTCTCCAAAT